GTGCAACATAATTTACATGTAACGTTATGACAAAAGGAGCACTTGTGTAGATAAAGTATGGGCAAGACATGATAATATATTGTTGATGGTTTGTTCTTACCCGTGACGGCAGCTTAGCGCTGAGCTCTGTGTGTTACGGTGAGATCACCTCTTGTTTTCAAGCGTGCTCGCTCCCGACTGTGCCGTGCTGTGGGGGAGGAGCCTAGGAAGGGGAGCTGAGAGCAGGGGGAGGGACTACAAGGTTGTTTCTGTTCAAAATTTTTCTAAGTTTTTGGGTWCCCAAGAAACTACATACAGCAGCTTTAAGAATAAGACTGCAGTGAAATTTGTTGATAACGTTGTATCTTTATTTTTTTAAAGAATTTTTAAAAGTTTACCCTGTATTGGGCACATTTAAGATATTTAAAAACTAATTGTGTCCAAATGCCTCAGTAAAACCACTTGAAAACAAACACACTCGTTCATTATAGGCTTTAGAACAAGGCTGCAGTGAAATTTGTTGATAAACCAGCCTCTATTGCTGAATAACAGGCTATTTCAGTGCCGATGGCCGCATTTCCGAGGTGTACATGAATGCATCATGAAGTCGAAACTCATTTGCAGGCGGAACCGTAATAAGCTGTGTAAACACGCAATATTTAAATAATATTTAATATTTTAGCTCTGCACAGTGGATGGCGTGACCGCGGTCAGAATTTGGTGCTACACCCCTGCTTATCCCCACTAACACTATAAATAACACTAGTGCTGTATCACGTCTATGATTACATCCTACAGTTGTCATACTATTTATATTAGAGTCAAATGATCTTACATGAAAAATTTAGACAATGTACCATAATGTGATATTTACCTGTGGGTGGATTTGCCACATAATCGTGGTCCGCAGTAGCAGCCTGGCTAGCTTTCTGTGAGAGGAAAAGCTGTCTTTTCTGAGCGCTGTCTACCAGTCGGCTGAAATTATTCCAGGAGAACAGAGAAGGAACAGCTCTACTTTTAAGGCGGCGGATGGCAGATTGGCTGACAAAATCATCCGCCGTGAAATGCCGGCTGCATACAAAAGTGCTCCCTGCCTTTATGCGAAAGTCTGGACCCTCATCTCTCCTGATGGCTTGGACCCACCGCCTCCTTTGGTCTGGGTCCGTCGGGAAAGCATGGAAGGACAGGTACGGTTGTTTTCTTGCACCACACGAACAACTTGGAACCGAACAAAAACATCCGCGCCGAAACTGAGCCATATTCGTCATTGCTTAATGCTAACGCTATTTCCACCGGCAGTTGTCGAGCACCACTTCCGCTTTAAAACGCGGAAGAGCGTGGCGGACTGAATCGCATCGTACGGCGCCGCCATATTGGATGAGTCTCTCCTCACTCTAGGCAGCTCCAGAAAGAGCGACTCTGCCCTTTTTTGGTGTATTAATCTGCGCAGTTTCGAAAGCAGATCACATGGGATTACCTTTTTATAAGCAAAACTGAACAATAGTTTTGGTTATTTGACATTTATAATATTTTTTTCATTATAGCTAATGTTATTTGGCAATCAACAAAGTGATATCAGCAGGAACTGGTTCTCTTTATCTGACTGTACGGCTCAGATTGTCAGGATTAGAGGTGGTGTTAAAATGTAAATCTGCTTTTGTATACACATAATGAGACAACAGCACCTGCAGCCACACAGTAAAAGGTTGTGTCACTATTTTAGTATGTTTGGTATCACATGGGTTTATTTTTTGTAAATTTAATTAATCTAAGTTAAATAATTTAGCATTTAAGTACTTAATTATTTAGAGTGTACACATATAGTTAACATTTTGTAATAGTTTATTTTGTCATTTGCAATAATTAAACTTTTTGTTTCTTTGAGTCAGCTCCTTTGGAGAAGCAGTTGTCCTGCCCCTCAGTGTAAACAGCCCAGCTGCAGAGGGAGAGGTTTAACTTTACTATTTCTTTGTTTTATTTTATTTTAATTTTATATTGGAAATATTTATTTTCGTAGTTTACAGTGAAATATTGATAAGTTTTGATCAGCAGCATGATAAAACAAAATTATGAATAAATTCTTGTTATTGCTGTGTGCATATTTATGATCGTGTGAAAGAGAAATAAATTCAAAGGATAAATTAAACGTATTTATTGCAAAATGTATTTCCTTTAAACTGTGAATTTCCTGTCACTTTGCTGCTGATGCATTTGATTTTCTCCACAGGGGGACAATAAAGACAATTTTTAAATAATTCATTTATATTTTTATTAATGTGCCAGACCATAGGCCTTAAGTCTGTCTTGAGAGCATAAAACAAAGTATTTCAGCATGAAAGCAACCATGTCCAATACAACTACATCTGTCGTTTGTAATAAATCAAACTGTGGGAAAAAAATCTCTTAAAAATGTATTTTACAGCAATGAGTTAAAAAAAATGAATTTATAAGCCCCAAAAAAGTAATAGGCCCTGGCTATTCAACTGGTGGCCCATATGTTTGACTTAAGTCTGGCCCACCAATGAGTTCAATAAAGGAACAAGTTTTATATTTTTAAAGGACCACCACAAATGTTAAACTTTTTTTAATTTATGTAATATAAAAGTAGATTTTAAATCAATTTTAAATGCAGCAACATAAATGAAAACGGTAAAAGATATTAGCTCTTTTACATAAGGCAGTGTTTCACCTCCCATTAGAGCAAACCTTCCCTGGATGTCCAGCCTCTGAGCTGTTTGTTGTCTTTGAGGAACTGTGGTCCCCTGAGTGGTTTGGTTGAAAACCCCTGCACTGGGTTTTTGTCTGTCTAGTCATAACATTTAAATTTGTGATTTTTCCTCTCTCTTGAGTATGACTTCTGCCTCTACTAACCTGCAGCAGGATAAACAAGACTGATTAAAATTCCTCTGTCGACATGTGAGCAGGGAGTTGATGAAACGTGATTGCACCAGAATGAGCCTGATACGAGTGTTTAAAAAAAGTGAAGACTTAAAGTCGAGTCATTCAACAAATACAAAATAAGCCACATATTTATTACCCTTTTATTTCATTAATCATAATGTTTGCACAAAGATAACAGCACAGTATTTGGACATTCCTGAATATTTGTCTCAGCTTCACAGAGCTAAAACACAAAAGGCTTTAAAGCGTCACAGACTTCTAAACAAGTTAAAATCCAGCAGTGATCTTTTATTTTCAGCTCAGTCTAATCGGCAAATTGTCAACGTTTCGCCTGTTCTTCCCCACAGCCTGAATCCGGGGTACAGTGGCCCGTTGAACTGGGTCTGATGGTGATGGATGAGAACAGCCTTTTTGTTGACGATGCTGTAAAAGTTCAGAACCCCTGCATACTGGTCCAGATAGATACCAATCCTCTTTGCTTTAGGGGAGCCCAGCAGTTTCTCCTCATCGTTGTGCCAGAAAGAGAAGCCGGTTCCAGACCAGTACAGGCTCCAGGACTGAGCGTTGTGGCCCAGACGACTTTTGTTGTCAGAACCCTTACGCTCCATTTCCTTGTAAGCAACACCGATGGTAATCTGCATGATGGGGCAAAAGAAAAACACAAAAAATTGAGAAATATGCTTTATTTTGAGGATATATAAAAAACAAAGCTAACTAGAGAATTTGCATTTCCTGCAAAAATGCAGCTAGTACTGAACTGATGTTTAAGAACTCACCTTCTGGCCGGTCCACTCCACCTCCCAGTAGTATGGGCTCCCTGCCAGGGGCTCTCTGCAGAGGACTTGTCTCCAGAAGGCGAAGCGCTCGGGGTGGTCCGGGGGGTTCAGGTTCTCAGAACGCATTGTGACCTTATGATTGTCATCTGACAGCTTCATGTGTCGATACACCGTGTTGGGGTCAAAGGTGGGTTCGAAACGAACTGAAGGAAGAGGATGGATGAAACACCTGATCTGAACACTAGAAAAGCTTCAGTGCTGGACTTTTTTTAAAACGGACTCACATTTTAACATTTCCTCTCGTGTTTTTGGTTCTGGGTTGACAAGTCCAGCTGCATTTTGTGCTCTTGTAGCTGCTGCAAACATAAAAAAAAATACATGTTGCATTAAAAAGATCAACTCTTGAGCTGTGCTGCCATGTAAGGTTTTCTTTTAATATACATACTTTGAGGTCTAGAAGGAATAAGAGGAGCAAAGGGCGCTGAAGCTTTATGTCAAAAAGAGAAAATAAGATTAGGTGATTATTATATAGAAATATAAAATCTTTCATGCTCTGCTGAGAACAGTTCTGATCTTACCTTCATGATTCAGAGAACCTCCAATCCTTGAGGGCTCGCACACTGGAGGAGGAAAATATTGAACTGTCAGACCTAAACAGGTGTAGTTTGTGGCCATTTGCTTACTATGCATTTTATTTTTAAATATACATACTTTGAGGTCTAGAAGGAAGAAGAGGAGCAGAGGGCAAGGAAACTTTATGTCAAAAGAGAAAATAAGATTAGTTGAACATATAGAAATATAAAATCTCTTTCATGCTCTGCTGGGAACAGTCTTGATCTTCAATTTAGTTTATTTATATAGCGCCAAGTCATTACATACGTTGTCTCAGGGCACCTTCATGATTCAAAGAGCTTCCAATCCTCGAGGGCTCGCAAACTGGAGGAGGGAAATATTGAACCGTCAGACCTAAGCAGTTTGTAGATATTTGCTTACTATGCATTTTATTTTTTAAATATACATACTTTGAGGTCTAGAAGGAAGAAGAGGAGCAGAGGGCAATGAAACTTTACGTCAAAAGAGAAAACAAGATTAGTTGATTTTATAGAAATATAAAATCTCTTTTATGCTCTGCTGGGAACAGTGCTGGGTCCGTATTTATCAAACTTCTTAGAATTACTCTTAAGAATGCTGCTAAGAGTGGACTTAAGTGTAAAAAAAATTCTTAGTTAAAAGTTGAGAGTAAAAGTCAGTTATCAAACATCTCAGTCCTACTTTAAGCGAAGTGTAGGAGTAATTCTAAAGTGTCAGTCTTAGAGCTGAGTTGCGACACCTGGCTGTGCCGCAAAGCTGATCCTGGATGACGTCGTTAGAAAAACCTGGACATGGACCAATCACTGCCTCGGATTTCATGTTCAAGAATATTGTTGGAGAAATGTCAAGATAAGACTGTGAAAATCCTAAGTTCACTTTCAACACACTAATGTTGTCACCTTGTACTGATTGTAGAATTACACAAAATGTCCTCATTTGCATCATGAAAACAGACGAAAATCTCAATTTTTTTATCAAAAACTCAGCAGCTTTAAAGTTATTTTATGTCTCAGAGCCTGCGGTCATGTTGAGCTGCTCCCTTCTCCTCTTCCCCACTGTCTGCAGACAACAGCTTTACACACACACACACACACACACACACACACACACACACCCCGCTCCATCATTACCAGCTTGGTCCGAGCGTCCCCCCTGCGTGCTTCATCATTGTATCATGTGATTGTTAATCTAATAAACGAAACGTTCAATCCCACCGTAATTTCAATTTCTCTCTTTTTGTGTGTGTGTGTGTGTGTGGGGCGGGGGGCATGCATTCACCAGCTGAGTATATTTAATATTTTCTCTAAAAGCCATGCACAGATTTCTGTCTTTTAGTCCAACGTTATGTGCAGTTATTTATTTATTTATTTATTTATTTATACATACATACATACATACCTTTGTTTCTTTTGTATATTTCTGATTAAACCTGTTTTCCACCTTGTAACTGAGAATAACACTCAGGTGGGGAGAAGGACAGCTGTAATCTCTGTCTCCTCAGTTCATCTCAGACCCCTATTGTCAACTCTTAACCTCTTAAGAGTCCTCTGCAGCAGTCTTAACTTTTGAGAGTAAGAGTGATTCTTAGACTTAAGAATTTTGATAACTGGCATTTAGACTTAAGTCTGAGAGTAGGAGCAAATCTAAGAAATTTTCAGCACTTAAGTCTAAAAATCCACTCTAAGAAGTTTTATAAATACAGGCCCTGATCTTCAATTCAATTCAATTCAATTATATAGCACCAAGTCATTACATACGTTGTCTCAGGGCACTTTCATGATTCAGAGAACTTCCAATCCTCGAGGGCTCGCACACTGGAGGAGGAAAATATTGAACTGTCAGACCTAAACTGTTTGTGGCCATTTGCTTACTATGCAGTTTATTTTTAAATGTACAATAATTTACCTTGAGGTCGTGCAGGTGGAAAAGGTGGAGGATATGGAAGGGATTCATACACTACTGTAAAGAGAATAGATGGTTAAATAGGAACATGTTGATCAATCTGTGCAGCGTTGCACTAGTGAAGTCACCAAACCTGCATCCTGTGCAGTGGTCTGATGAGAGTAACCAGTGAGTGTTGGGGCTGCTGCACCACTGGGTGGTAGGGCTACAGGTTTTTGATTCACTACAAAAAACAACAGAAACATTTAACCAACAAGACTGGAAAAAAAAAGAAAAAAGAAAAAATCTGACCTATTTTGGCGATTTTAACCAGAGTGGCTTTGCACTGGTCCTGTACTGAGTCATGCAGCTCTTTTATAGCTGAGCGAATGGAGGCCACCGCTGCTGCTTCTTCACTCAGCACCGACTCTGCTGTTAAATTCATCGGACCCAGTGGCTCCATGAGGAGGAAGTTCTTTAAAAAAAATAAACATTTATAACCATCCTCTTTCAGCAAGATCAATGTGAAATCCTCACAGCGTCCTGATTTCTCACCTTCAAGAAGGTGACATGATCCTGCATGTCAGACAGTCTGCTCAGCTCCTCGCTCTTCCAGCGGAGCTGGGCCACCTCCTGCTCCAGGCCCTGGACCAGTCCTTCAACTTGACTGCAGAAGGCCGCCTCGTGAGAGCCGAGGAGCTCACCAACACCACTTCCTGTTTGGTTCAAGCTCTTAACCAGCTCAGGAAATAAATCACAACTCTCCTTTTCCAGAGCCTGCAGTAAGGTCTGGAGGTTTAGTGAGGAGGGGACAAAAAAAACATGGTAGTTATGAGATAAAGATCCAAAGACTGTAGACACAATATAACCAATATTCCTGCCTGAAGTTCAAATATCCATCAACTTTCTTATATAAAAGTACAAATTGTAATTTGGGACTTAAATTAGTGCAAAGTAATAATCTGGAATAATAAATGCCAACATTTTTATGAGTTTTATAAAAAACGTGAAAGAGAACAAAGATCTTTTTCAAAGGAGTCCTAGCCAAGATGCAGTAAAAGTTACACAATTAAAATACCATTCAAATAATGATTAACAGTGACTATTAAAAAGGAAGTCATCTCTAGTGCTCTCAGTGAAATAAGCTCAGCTAATCTCCAGTCTTTTTGCAACTGAATAAACAACTTTTTTTCCAAATCTATGAGGAGGAAATGAACAGAAGAGCAAAGAAAGATCATTTAAAACACAACGAGTAAGAATCAACACTTCTGTGATTAAATCACAGATCTATGAGGGCAACAGCCCAAGCATGGCCTTAAAAATAACTGTACCAATGTCCCAACCTCATGGTGGTCTTAATAAGACAGGTAGACAAAAAAACAGGGCACACAATGAGCCTCAAACATTGAATAAATAAAATTCTTATTAAAAAATACTAAACCATAAGTGGCAGAAGCATTTCTTTGTTACATCATTTTTATTTCCTTCAGTGTTTTATGTTGGAGATAAGGCGACAGGTTAAAAACACCGCCATCCAGTTTTGGGGAAGAAATTCTGAGCTCAGATAAAATGGAAGCCAATAGGAGTTTGGACGAGTGAGGTCGTCACTTAAAGGGGATTTAAGAGAAAAATGCAAGTCCTGTCGATGTGAGAGACACACTGAAAGATGACAAAAACACCTTTTGATGTTTAATTTGTATAAATTTTGTGGAAGATTTTGGGGAAAATAGTCAGTTTTCAAAACTTTTTTAAAAAGCTAAATGGTCTGTAGCAAAATTTCCAAAAACAATAAACAATAGTGTAAACTCTTAAGTATATGAAACTGGTATTTTAGTCAAGTCTAATTTTTCCCCAGTGTTACTTTAGCTTTAAAGAGGGCTTCTTCTTGCAAGTCATTTAACCAAAATCTCATGGTTGTTTATGGCAGAATCGCTCATAGTTTTGTGAATTTAGGCTACATTGTCAAACACACATGCTACCAAAAGTCAGAGCACAGTATTTCTAACTGCAACAGGAGGTAGGGGCTCACCTCTGCCCCAGGGCAGCTGTGGCTACAGTGCAGCTTACCACCATTAGTGCGTGAATGAACGACTGCAGTGTGAAGCACTTTGGAGTCCTTGGACTTGACAAAGCTTTATACAAGTTAAGACCATTTTGATGTAATTTTTATCCCCTGAAGTGAAAATTATGACAAAAACTGAAGGAATAATAGGCAAAATGTAACAAAGACTGCTTTCATGCTGCCCTCCTTAGTCACAAACAGGATGTCAGAAATTAAAGAGTTCAACAGTCAGGGAGAAGAATGTGCAGACCTTATGATGGCGGGCAGCAGCTGGGAGCTCCTTCAGCATCCTCTCAGACTCGTGGATTCTTCTCTGAACCTCACCCTGCATCTGAAGGAGCTCTTTCTACACAAAAACAAATCAGTTTGAATATTAAAAGCAACCATAAGAAGCAAGGCAGTAAATGTGAACAGTAAATGATGCTGTATAATATTTGACACATCTCAAAAAGAGAAAAAGGAACATATATGAAAGGACTAGTAAAAAACAGGATCAGCCAGTCTGGAAAACGCCACGCCCACGTTGTTCTTGATCCACCTGTTCCTCACGTCATAGGCAGAACGAGGCAAACACGTGAGCAGAGATGTTAAATACATTCCAGGTGTAACATCAGCTTCTGCCAACCCCTACCTGTCTCTCCTTTCGTTCATCTTGTGGTCTGAGCACATGGTGGTCTTTATGTCCCTGCTGGCAGCACACCTCACAAACACACTCCCTGTCCTCGTGGCAGAAGAGGTCAAGAGGTCGGTGGTGTTGAGGGCAGGGTCTGGGTTCCAACGTGGGAACCTGGGGGTACACGCTGCCCTTCCTCGGCCCTATGTCTGAAAGAACCTCCATGTAGATGGGCACTGACGGCGGGTCTGGGGAAGCTGCTTCGTAGGAGCTCCGCTTGAGGCTGTTGCTCCTCAGTTTCTCCATGGCCTCGGCAAGCAGGGTGCTCTTGGCCAGCGAGGGTCTCGGGTTGAAGACCTGTCTACACTGTGGGCAGCTGTACTGGCCGTTGGTGTCTCTCTTGTCCCAGTGGTGCTGGATACAGGCCAAGCAGTAGGAGTGTCCACATGGCAGCGTGGTGGGCTCCTTCAGGGTTTCCAGGCACACCGAGCAGACAAAGCTGTCCTCTTCGGGCCAAGCTGAGGCCATGAGAAGCTGAGAGCATGGACGACCGCAAAGTTTTCTGTTGAAACTGATTTCAGAAACTGCCGAATCAAGACTGAAAGACACTCCAGAGCTTAAAAAAAATGTCTGAAATGCCTGTTCAGGTGAATCACATTCTCCTAAAATACTCCAGCTCTGTCTGGGGTGGAGCTGCGAAAACAGGTGTGGTGAGGAGTTTATCAGTGTTTCACAATTTAACTAGTTGAATACTTCATTTAATCATTAAATAATAAAAAAATACAACGATGTAATGTTCTTCTGACATTTGTTCCAGTTTGTTTGTTTATTTGTTTGTTTATTTATATCTTAACAAAATGAAAAGTACTTGCTTTAGTCGACTGTGGAGGAAAACAATAGTTAAAACAAGTCGAACAGGTTTTTAGCGCGTATGATTTGTGATGTTATTTAGGGGTTTTTCGGTGATTTCATCTCTAAATAATGCAAACACCTCACCTCCCACATTTTTCATTTGTAGTACAGAAAAAAAACCCAAAACAAAACACGTCAAAGCGGCGCAGGGAAAGAGTAGGCTCCGCCTCCTGTGGGTGTGCATCATTTCTATATCGGCGCACAGTAAGTGCTCTACATGAAAAATCAAGTCAGCTTAGCGGATTGCAAATGGCCTTAGTATTTTTGTTTACATTCTTGTACATTTAACTTAATAGCGACCAAATAACATGCTTTGACCGTTTGACAGATTGTCCTGAAGACTTCCCTCGCAGCCTCCTCCTTCCCCGCCTGTCATCACTTCCAACCTGTGAGACGCCGGTGACTCAAAAAGGAACGGACCAGGTGCAGCCAGCTCGATAGCATCAGAGTGGTCGACTAGCTACATTTCTCTCAACGTAAGTCTTTTTTTCTTTAAAGGAAAGTTTCATAATCACAATTAAGTCAACGATGACTACTCTGAACGTGTGTGTCATGTCAGCTAGTTGCTATTAAGAAGATTTTTTTTAATTCGCTCTTCATTACGAGGACATGTAGCTTGCTGTTTTGCTCGTATTTCTTGCTAACTTAACCGGCTAGGCTGTGTTTCTGCTCTTTAGTTGTTTGATTTTTAAATGACAATGTCAGCTCAGACTTTAATACAGTTTATTTAACATGCTTAAAGTTTGCTATATTAGCTGCTGCACATAATGGTCCAAGTTTGACAACTATTTACTTTAAATACGATTAAAATGAAATGTTTTCCTGTAGTGTGCAGCTTTAACCTTCAGCTAACATGGTGCATAAACACTGTGAACAGCATCCTATAATCAAATGTCTTGTGCATATAACCAACCTGTTTAACTATTTATAGAGCAAACCAAAGTCAGAGCTATACACTAAAAACAACAATATAAAATTCTCAAAACAGATGAGAAATGATAAAATCAGAGGGACTGATGGATGCCCAGTAAAAATTCTATATAAATGAATTATAAAAAAGATTAAGTTAGTTTTCTTCATATTTTGCACTTTTTAAAATGTACAAAAATAACATTAAAATGCATTAAGGCTCAAATATTCAATAGAGAAACCATCACTTAAAATGAAAAGCCAGAGAAAGTAAATGTTTGCTGTTAAAAACACTGTTTTTAAAGCTTCTCCTGAGGGGATATGTTTGAGTGGTGAAGTTCATTCCTCAGCTTTGGTGCTGCTACCTCTAAGCAACATTCTCCTGTATTGACTGATCTAGAACGTAGAACCTCCACAATAGGGTTGGGCGATATTGGCAAAAAATAAATCGCGATTAATTGTGGTATTTAGCCGATAACGATTAATTTGACGATTAATACCCTCGAGTCTCTGGACACCCTTATTTCATAGTCACATGACCAATTTAGTGGGTAAGATTTGCTCTTCATAAATATCTGTTCCAAATTGTGTCAAAATTACAGACTTCAGGCTATACATCAAATTTTTAATTGTTGATAGATAAATAAATTACAGAACTTTTTTTAATGTTCGTCATATTTGAAGCGGAGAGGAGCAGCGAGTGGATTCTACCTGGTGGCATTAATCGTATTAATCGTCAAGTGCCAAAAATTAATCGATTAATGTTTTTCTGACTATTAATCACACACAATACGATTATGCCCAACCCTACTCCACAAGGAGCTGCTCAGAAACTTCCAAGACGTCTAAGAATTTGAATAGAAAAGACAAGTTCAGATAAATATACAGACACTGAGCCATAGAAAGCTTTTAAAACAAACAAATGAAATTAAAATCAGTTATGTTGTAAGAGAGAATACATTTGAACTTGGACAGGTTTCTGAGTTTGTAGAAAACCAGTCTTTAGCACCGACAGTCAGAAATGACAGGTTTCTAGCGTGGTATTAAAAATCTAATGATGATGTCTTTAAGGAGGGAAGCTAGATCTATAGAAAGTTTTAATAAGCACACAAAAATACACTTCTGATCAGAAGGACTTCTAACTGGGCAGTAGAAAATTCTGTCCATGTTTTAAAAAAAAAAACCCTGGTACTTAGCTTGATGTTAGGCCAAGTTCATAGAATAAATTTGAACTTCGTGTACCAGTGATTTTTAAGGAATTTATTGTAAATACTTGTCCAGGTCTCTGCAGGTAAAAGGATGCAACATCCGATCTACAGGAGCCTCTATAATGTCTCGGCGTGTCTGTGTTTTTGTGTTTTGCAGGATGTTTAGGAGCCCACAGTTCCTGATTTGGGCCTGCCCCAGGAGACAGTTTCTGCTATTAAGAGAATATCACCTTTCTGCCTTTTCTGAGCATACTGGTTTTGGGTGGCTGCTAGCAAGAAGCTTGAAAGAGAGGAAATATGAAGCGAAATGTGAGAGAAGCACAAGTAAGGATGGACTACCATTATGTGAAAGGACTGCGTGCTTTTCAACCCAGCTGTATAGATCAGTCCGTCCAACGTGTCAGTCGAGGGGTCATTTAGCTGAAAACCTTTCCAAAGTCATGTTAAGCTACCATCAGCACTACACTCAAGTCTCTGCTAAAACCAAACAAGTGTCTTATCTCTTCAGCACTTTCTGGAGCTGTTTATTTAACCGGACTGTTCTTCAGCGCCATAGAGGGCCTTGGGATGTTAGCCAGACTTCACTCAGCTGCGTCAGTAAGAGTCAGTGTAACTTCCTTCATCACGGACCTAATTCCTATAGACCCCCTGGTCTGTCAGTACAGAATCCATGGATTTTAAACCCCCTTCAGTGTCAACAATCACCCAGCCCCTCTCTTCGCCTGATCCAAACCGTCCATCAGGCCGTCCCCCGTGTGGCAGACGCCTTCAGAGACTGCCTGTCCCTCGAAAATGAAACCCGATGTCGGCAGAAGCTGGCGCCCAACTGGAACCTCTACGACATGGACGAAGTGATAAAAGGGGCGAATCAGACCCAAGGCACAAACAGGGGGAGGTGGGCGGCCATCTTGGTGTCTCTGTGCTGTGTTGAAGGGGAGCCTGCTTTTCTTTTTACTCTGCGCTCCAGCACACTGAGAGGCAAACACAAAGGAGATGTCAGGTTGGTGCAAGGCTAAAAACAAAACTACAATTATCTGTTTTTTACACATGTAAAATTATTCGTAGTGATGGGATGATGATACCTCAATGGGTTTATTAACACACTACACACACAAACTGTGTCGGCTCTGTATTGATGCTGTGTTGGTCACTCAATAGTGACCCCTGCGGTAGTTATAAAATTATTGCAGGTAAACAAAATGAAGATAAAATGAAAAAGCTTACATGCTGCAAACCCAACATCAGCCTGTGAAATATTGAATCACCAGTTCTTTACTTAAAATATCATCTCATCATTTCATTTGCTCAATTTGCTTGAGTTAAGTTTTTCATGAGAAGAGTTTAAAACTTACGTAAAACCTTGTTTGTGTAAACTGTTTGTCTAAACTGAGTTGTAAAATACAGCAGATTTGTCTGCAATAAAATTCAGTTAAAATTATTAACTTATGTATGGAAATTTTTAAGTGTCAACCCATATAAAATAAAATAAAATACTAATAATATATAATATACCAAAAATACTAAAAATTTATTAGTTTATGCATTTTTATTGAGGAACAAAATGTTTTGAAGTGTCTTTGCTCCAAGGCGATTTCTCTTAGAGACCAGTTCTCCTGCCTTAGAAAAAACTCTTTCACAAGGTACAGATGAAGATGACGAGCATAAACATTTAAGTGCGAGCTGATAAAGGTGTTGATATTTTTTCTGGATATTTTTCCCATATTGTAACAGGTCTTGTGTTCTGGGTGTGTTGCTTTCAGCCAGGTAACATTGGAGTTCAATTATGGAATGGTTGTCGTATCTTGTCGTCTTGTTCTCCTCAACCTTCATATCAAGAGGTTTCCAGAGATTGTAACAAATATTTTAGAAATAAATCTTTGTTAATCATTAGTTTATTTGTTATTATTATTATTTGGCGTCACAATATCAAAATTATTCCAGACTGGGGAAAACTTCTTGGAACAATCCATGAAGTCAGTGGAACAA